GCACTGTCCTCCACGAAGCACAGTGGAGAAGCCCTGGGCAATGGCGGCAGGCTGGGGTGCAGTCTGGCCCAGCCATGAAGGCAGTGAGGAGCACCCCAGAGTGTAGTGGCACCAGGAAAGGCATGGGGGACTTTGGGGCCCAGAGCAGGACTGCAGGTGGTGGCCTCTGCTGGGGCAGTGTCCGGGGAGGACCAGGCAGCCTGGCCTGCGCCCTTCTCAGGGATCACTGAGTGCTGGCCTGTCCCGGACGCACATGGCCTGGCCACTGCCCACCCACCCTCATTATCCGAAGGCCCGTTTGTGAGAAGGCAGGTGAGAAAGCTACGCACTTCCTGTGGGCCGCGGCCTGACCACCTTTCCTGTCACAGGGACCTGAAGGTCTCCAATTTGCTCATGACCGATAAGGGCTGTGTGAAGACAGGTGCGTGAGGTGGCCGGCTCTCGTGCCTGGGGGTCCTCGTCAGCATTCTGAGGGCTGGGGCCGGCAGGTCGCCTCAGGGTGCGGGACACTGCCCGGCTGCACCCCTGACAGTCTCTAACCTTCTCTGCCCAGCGGACTTCGGCCTGGCCCGGGCCTATGGCATTCCGGTGAAGCCAATGACCCCCAAAGTGGTCACCCTCTGGTAAGTCACTCAAAAACACGTGGTTTCTGGGGGCAGGCATGCTTGGTAGAAGAGCCATTTGGGGTGTCTGGCTGGAGCTGCAGGTTGGCCTGCAGGGTTTATCAGCTGTATGGGGAACTGTGTGCCTGACGGGGGGCTGACGGGGGGCTGTGCACCTGATATGGGGGGACTGATGGGGGGCTGACGGGGGGCTACATGCCTGACGTGGGGCAGCTGAGTGCCTGACGAGGGGGCTGACAGGGGGCTGAGTGCCTGATGTGGGGGGCTGTGCGCCTGATGGGGGGCTGACGGGGGGCTGGGTTAGCGTGTCTGTTGTCCAGGCCCCGGCCCCTCGGGGAGGCTGTGCTCAGAGGAGGCCTGGGCTGGAGGAGCGCCCTTGGCTGGGTGTCAGGTGGGGACATGTGTTCCAGGTACCGAGCCCCGGAGCTCCTGCTGGGCACCACCACCCAGACCACCAGCATCGACATGTGGTGAGGCATGGCCCGAGGCCTCAGGCAGGGGCAGGGGCAGGGGCAGGGCCAATGTCTCTGCTGCCTCCCAACTTCAGGGCGTGCCCTGAGCCTGTGAACTCCGAGGAGGCATGGGAGGGAGCCGGTATTCACAGGCATTGACCTGGGGCCCACAGGATGCCAACCTGCCCTTGCAGTCACCCAGAGAGGCTGGCCGGGCCAGCCAGGGACCTGGGGGGGAACCTCTGGTCATGTGCCCATTGCACAGTTGTGTCCTCTGGCCCAGCGTCGGTCACTTTGGCTGGCGCTCATCAGGGGACTGCGGCTACAGCGAGGCCTGTTCTGCTCCTCAGGGCCGTGGGCTGTGTCCTGGCTGAGCTGCTGGCCCACAAGCCCCTTCTCCCGGGCACTTCTGAGATCCACCAGATCGACCTGATCGTGCAGCTGCTGGGCACGCCCAGCGAGAACATCTGGCCGGTGGGTGCCTGGAGAGCCCACGTGCTGCCCCAGCCCGCGGCCAGCCCCCCTACAGCTCGTTCTGCTCCCCCAGGGCTTCTCCAAGCTGCCGCTGGCCGGCCAGTACAGCCTGAGGAAGCAGCCCTACAACAGCCTCAAGCACAAGTTCCCCTGGCTCTCGGAGGCCGGGCTACGCCTGCTCAACTTTCTCTTCGTGTACGACCCGAAGAAAAGGTGGGGACTGGCCACAGCCACAGGGCACTGGGCCGCCGACCCAGACCCTCCCCCACCCGCGCAGGTGCACACACTGGCTCTCATTGGTTTCT